TCACCTGAAATGACTCCCCAGTGCACGACCCGTTGCCTCGATTCCTTGGAGACCCTCCCCAGCACCTAGCCGCAGTGTGTCCTCTACGGCCACAGCTGGTGCAGGGGACGGCCCCCCTCGGGTTCTCTCTCCTACTCTCTCTAGCGCCAGCACCCCCGAGCTCCATTGGGCTCGGCGGTGCTGGGGGATGGAATGGATGGCCCCATCTCGGGACGTCCGCGGGTGGCCAGCAGGGTATCCAGACGGATGGACATGTCCACTAGCTGGTCGAAGGACAGATTGGTGTCCCTGCAGGCCAGCTCTCGACGAACGTCCTCACGCAGGCTACACCGATAGTGATCGATGAGGGCCCTCTCATTCCACCCCGCATCCGCCGCTAGAGTCCGGAAATCCAGGGCGAACTCCTGTGCGCTCCTCTTCCCCTGTCGGAGGTGGAACAGACGCTCCCCCGCCGCTTTACCCTCAGGAGGGTGATCGAAAACTGCCCTGAAGCGGCGGGAGAACTCTGTGTAGCTGATGGTGGCAGCGTCTATTCCCCTCCATTCGGCGTTGGCCCACTCCAACGCCTTGCCGGAGAGACAGGAGATGAGGGCGGAAACGCTCTCGTATCCCGAGGGCGCCGGGTGTATGGTGGCCAGGTAGAGTTCCACCTGAAGGAGGAACCCCTGACACCCGGCTGCGGTGCCATCATACTCCCTCGGGAGCGAGAGCCGAATCCCACTGGATTCCGGAGCTGGTTGGTGGGGCTGGCCGATGGTGGTGGTAATGTAGGAGGAGGTGTGGGCACGCCTCCCCTTTCCCATCGGCGCAGGGTGTTCATTACCTCCTGCATGGCGGAGCCGAGTTGCTGGATCATGGCGTCCTGGCAGCTGACCCGATCCTCCAGCGACTCGGTCGCCGCCGCTGCTCCTGCTGACTCCATTGTATGGTGTGTTGTTCTGTCAAGGGGCTGATGTGGATGCGGTGTTGGAGTCAGGCGCAGGACACAGAAGCTTAGTTGATCCGACTTTAATAGTCACAGGAGCAAAATACAAATCCAACGGGCCTCAACAAACAGGAGGCGAGCGAATACGCAAAACAGTGCGTAAAGTGCGAAAAGCACTAACAACAAGAAAACAAATAACCTACACCAACGGACAGGCGTACAAAAACACACAACTACAAACAAAACCAAAGGAAACTTATAGGTGACATAATCGATACGAGATATGGAACAGGTGCACTAATCAGACAAGACCAAACAAACACAGATAACATCAAACGGTAGCAGCTAGTACTCCGGGGACGACGAACGCCGAAGCCTGCCCGAACAAGGAGGAGGAGCAGCCTCGGCGGAATTCGTGACATTATTCTGTCTCTCACTGTTCAAATATACCTACCATTAAAATTATAGACTGATCATTTCTTTGTCAGTGGGCAAACTTACAAAATCAGCAGGGGATCAAATACTTTTTTCCCTCACTGTATACAGTAAATGCATTATTTCTCAATTCATTTTTGGGTGAGTTATTTGAACATTTTCACCATATCATATAGGTTCATTTTAACCTGCTTTATTAAGATTCATGGTAAAGACTAATGGTAGGCTATATATATTTATTCAGATATACAAAATGTAAAAACAAATGGAATTTTATATTTACCCAGAACCAAGTATTGAAGAAAACGAAAAGGAACTTAATGCAGCCTATTCTTATCATTTTGGTGACACTGGAATTTTTTTTATTAAATTCTGATCAAGAACTGAAATGTAAACATAAATAGCCGATTGAAAGCGTCTCGTTTCATTGAATAATCTTACCCCGTAGGCTAAATTATTATTCTAAATTTAAGGGCATTAGCGGCCAACAAAGGATGGGAATGGTGAATGTCTCCACTGAATATCTAGAATAATCCTATTCTCATTTTCTGAAATTGGGAGCCAGACCTGAACAAATTACGCATCGGATGAATGCTATTGAACAAGGTTTATGCAAAGGGTCTGAGATACTTATTCTACAGCGATGATAGTTTGACTATCAAGTGTTATAGCCTATTGATGAGAACTAAATAAAATAAAAAGCCTTTGCCATGACAGGACAATTAACCTACATTGGATACGGTATTATGCTTTTGTAACACTTTTTTGTTGTTGTTGAGGAAATATATGTTCAAGGTAAAACGGCAGGTGCGAGACCGAGTAATTGGGATTTCTACAATTTTGTCGAATAAAGAAGAAACGTCACTGATGCGGACGTCATAGTTAACCCATGACACTTGTGCCCCAAAAATTAGCGCAAAGGAAATGGTGTGAGAACCTGAGTCACTTCGATGGTTTCTAGAAGTGGTGCTTTGGGAACTGATGTTGGAAACAATTCATTCTACTCTCAACGTGATAGTTAGTAGGGCTATAAGCAACCAATGTGATAATTTCATTGTTTATTTCAGCGTTTTCATTTGAGATGGTAGGTTTATTTTGAACGTCTTTTTTAGGTAATATAATTAGGAATAAGAACACGTAATTTAGTAGGATCTCTATGATGTAGGTCTGGTTGTGGCGTCATGGTTTTGATATCATATAATACTCCCATCACTGCACTAACTCTCCAATTGTCCTTCCTGCAGGGTCAACACCCTATTTGAGCTTATCTGAGAAGTATTGACCATCCAATACCTGTCACAATGAGAGAGACCCCAGCAGGCAGGATGAAGGTTAGGCTAGTAACATTCATTGCCCATCATTTAGCCTTTTTTATTCTATTAGTGAAAAAGTAATTAAGACAAAAATAAGCTATTGATATAATAAGACAAACATATTCTACTGGAGAAAAACAAAAATAAACATGAATACAAAAAGGCTATTGATATAATAATACTTTTTCATGAAACACTTCCTAAATAATTTACTTATCATTTGTATTTCTAGGGCACCCGAAAACATGTGGGTCAGGGCAGCAGAGACATGGACCCCAGTGGGATAACCTCAGACTTAAAGGAAGTCCTGGATTCTCTGTGAGTACACATTGTTTTCTCCTTCAGATTTTTTATCTGAACAACATGAATCAGACGAGCATCGTAGAAAACGTTAAGGACACCTACTCTTTTCATGACATAGACTGACCAGGTGAATCCAGGTGAAAGCTATGATCCCTTATTGATGCCAATCCACTTCAATCATTGTAGATGAAGGGGAGGAGACAGGTTAAAGAAGGATTTTTAAGCCTTGAGACAATTGAGACATGGATTGTGTATGTGTGCCATTCAGAGGGTGAATGGGCAAGACATAAGATTTAAGTGCCTTTGAACGGGGTATGGCAGGAGGTGCCAGGCGCACCGGTTTGTGTCAAGAACTGCATGCTGATGGGTTTTTCACGCTTAACAGTTTCCTGTGTGTATCAAGAATGGTCCACCACCTAAAGGACATTCAGCCAACTTCACACAACTGTGGGAAGCATTGGAGTCAACATGGGCCAGCATCAATGTTCCCTCTAAGCTGCAGCGCTGAAGAAATATCAGCCCGCGCAGAGAAGCACGAGATTGAACTTCACTCAACTTTCTGGACTTTCCCCCTTTAGTTAATTAACACTATCAACGTTTCCCTTTACTGTGGAAATTGTGATTGAATCAACGCAATATTAGCAACTTTCAATGCAACATACCGAAACAAAACTAATTATGTAAGGCATAGTATGCAAAACTAACTATGCAAGAGATGTTGTTGTAGGCAGAATGCATCGGCATAGGATTCTATTGCATTGACACACAGGACTCAGCCCGTACTCTACTCAGACCGGTGCAGCATAACCGATCAGAGCTGCAGTTGGCCTATATGCAAATAGACCATTGCCATATATGGATATATGCCATTCACTTTGAACTGGACTGTTTTTATAGCATGAGCAGTCGTGAGTAGATGCGCTTGTTTTGAGATCAAAGCGAGAGCTGCATGTAGCCACGTGTGCACATTTTGTTCATATCCTTTGCTAGTTAGTGAGTTATTAACCCAGTTACAGATCATTTGTAGTCAGCAATGTGGGAGTGATTACTTCCTACAAGAGCATAAAACGTGTACATTTCTAGACATCTTTGAAAAGCAAGTCGGGTAAAGAGCTTGCTTTTGTCTTAACGGGGCAGTGTTGTATTTTGAGACGGTCTTGAATAAGCTAAGTAGCCAATAGGCAGAGGGTATCATAATTTGTCTGATTCTCTGTGATAATGGTATGGGAATAATAATACATTTTATTTTGTAAAGTTATTTCTTGCATCAAACAACACAACAACATTTTCAGTCACCTCCTTCTCTGAAGGACAAGTGGATAAACAGGTTAATGTCAAGCCCTGCATGTTTTTTCAAAAGTCTCATGGAATGTAGGCCTACATTGAACACCACAAATTGATAGAACAGCTATTTCCATGTTAAAATGTTATAGGATGCATTTTCTCCATTGTTTTTGATGGTAGGCCACTCTGGTAGGCCTACATTATGATCAAATAGCCACAGTAGCCTACTTGACCACTGTCTGAAACTGTAACTTAAAGCGGGTACAGCCTCAGTGTTCACAGTAATCTCGCTCAAGTTAGCGCTCAGCAGACCTGAAATTTGCTCAGTGCTTATCATTTCTGGAAGGAACATTGGCCAGCATCTCTGTGGAATGCTTTCGACACCTTGTAGAGTCCATGCTCCGACGAATTCAGGCTGTTCTGATGGCCAAAAGGGGGGGGGTGAAACTCAATATTAGGAAAGTGTCCTTAATGTTTTGTACACTCAGTGTATAGTGTAGTCTATTTTATAATTCAAAGATTTTCAAATTACAATCCTATTTCCTCACCTCCTTGTCAATCGTATTGGAGGAGAAGGTCCAAGGTCCCTCCTCTCTGACCTTTTCCTCCAAGGCGTTTTGATAAGGAGACGAGGAGAGAGGATGCGAAGAATCGAGAAGAGATTAATTGATCAAGTATGCCAACAGTGCTGAGCCAGTATTACGGAGTATAAAGAGGTTTTAGAATTGCAGTATCACACCATGGCTCTGACCAACAGGGGTATTGGTCAGCTCAAGGACTTGGCCACCATGGTTGCAGAGGAGCCACTGTCGGACGCTCAAGTTGAAGGTGACATGACATTACCTTGTGACACCAATAATGAAAAAAGACAAACACAATACTTTAAATGAGTGTCAATCACTATGAATGCCTGTCGAAGAATTAGAAATGAAAAGAAGGTTAGTTAATTTCAGTAGCACAGAGGGAAAAATAATAGAATTTCAACCAGAAGGAGTTTGTTATAAAACCCTTTGTTTTCTCCTCGGGGACAATCAAGTTAATCCTTTCCTATTCTATCCTATCCCATAGCGTTCCAGGCTGTCTTTGAGCTGTTTGTCACCAACAGTCATGGCTGCATTGACGCAGTGGGTCTCTCCTCCCTATTGGACACAGTGAACATGAGACTCAGCCCCGAGCAGACTGAGGCTGCCCTACATAGGGCCGACTATGACGGTGAGGTCACGCACAAGGACATACACCTGCAATGTATCCCAAGGCAGGATCAAGGAATTATGCTACTGGAAATTTCACACAAGATGAAAACATTCCGTTTGCAATTCTAACATGTTCCATGGAATGTGAAATGCCTTTATAACCTGTTTTCCAATACATTTTAAATGTATTTAGGAACAAAAAATGCTCTCCAAACTAGCCTTTCAGGTAGAATATGGGGTGGGTGCGAGTACTCGATTTAAGGTTTGTACTCAATTGCTTATTAACAAATACAAGTACTCAAAATGTACAAATGCAGCTATTTATCAGGTAAAATGTATAAGCACAGAGAACATTTCAAACTTTTAAATGTGTGTGGAGTATGTCAAGTGCAGTAATTATGTTAAATTACATGTTCAGTTGTGTATCAGAACAGCCATAGGCTTAATTGGAACATCCAATAGGATAATTTTTTGCCTTCAGCCCTGTTTCACGCTAACATGCGAGTACTGGAGTACTCACAATTATTTAGATGAGAGTACTCCAACACAGACGTTCTTTCAAATTGTCATCCCTAGTAGAACGTATGAACGCTATCTGTAATTTTAATTTAAGGAACAATAATTCAAATGTGATTTGTTTCTAGGAGATGGTGAGGTAGGTTTTCAAGACTTTCTGTGTGTGATGACAGACAGTCAGAAGTTCGCCAGGTGTATAAAAGGTAAAAAGCCTGTAAGAAAGAGAGGTGTATATTTTGACCGATTTTAGATGGCGTGTACATGCTCACAATGACATAATTTTTTCAAGCCATGAAACAGGTGCCAACTACTCCCTCTACTCCTCCTCCCTCAATCTCTCCCTCTCTCTCTCTCTCTCCATTCTCCCTCTTTCTCTCCCTCTCTCTCCCTGTAGCGGAGTCCCCTGACCCATCTCAGAGTGTGGATCAGTCAGACTCTGTGTTCTACAAAGCCTTGAATCAGATGCTGAATGCGGGCCTCATTCCCAGCAGTGCCACTGGGGAGATAGTTCGGTAAAATACAAACGTTCGTTCTCTGATAATATACACTAGCAGTGCTTCTGGTCAGGCACAAGCTAAACACTAAATGTATGCAAGAATTGTGAGGTTTATTATGAGAATAAATATTTGAGTAAATCATTTGAGTAAAATGTTGCCTTTGACAAAATACGAAGATCAAAGCCCCAAAAGCAAATATTGTCAGTTTAAGTTCTCGTTCTCTGAGTCTAGGTAGTTTTTACAGGTGATTTTTGCGGCATTCAAAATGGTGTCCCAACATGCAGAAATAAGCTCATCAATCAAAAGGCCTTTTTCGTGGCCTCTCTGTCTCCAACCAGGTATTACCATAAGAAGTCACTGCGTCATGTGTTGAAGGTGGCGCCGCAGCAAGACAAGAGCAGGGGTCATGTGATCACCTACTATGCCAAGGGGGCCCACCTGGTGGGCCTGCAGCCCAAGCAGCTGATGAAGTACATCAAACCCGACGGTGAGCAACGTCTGGGCAATGTTTGTGTAACGTCTGAACAACATTTGACCAGTGTTTGAGAAACATAATTTCAGTTCCTGGTTTTATTGTGTGTATATTACTTCCCCTCCTTACCACAGGAGGTTGGTGGCAACTTAATTGGGGAGGACGGGCTTGTGGCAATGGCTGGAGCGGAATAAGTAGAATGGTATCAATTACATCAAACACATGGTTTCCATGTGTTTGAAGCCATTCCATTTGCTCCGTTCCGGCCATTATTATGAGCCGTCCTCCCCTCAGCAGCCTCCTGTGCTCCTTATCTATCTTTCAATTTAACACTGTGTGTGTAGCATCCATGTAGATGCTACACATTGGTCAAGGTGAGTTTCCCCAAAGCTTGCAATTCATCAATGTCTTCTTTGGCAACATTGGATTACTGAATTGAATTGAATCCGAGTCACTGCGTTGTGTGTGTGACTCTCTCAGCTCCCAGTACCAGCCCGTACTCCAAGCGGCCCAGCCTGAACGTCAACTCAAAGGTCACGGTGGGCAAGCGGGTGGCGACCCAGGGAAGTGCCCCCTCTGCCAAGACCTGGAAGACCGTGGAGATCGAAGGGCGCATCAGACAGGTATGAGCTAGGAGGACAGAAGGGTTGGGGACAATTCCATTTCAATTCAGTCAATTCGGGTTTACTTTATTTTAGTTACTTGCGCCTTTATTTAGCCAGGTAAGTCATCGAGAATAAATCGATTCTCTTTTACAATAACAACCTGAATTGACTGAAAATGCATCTGGATCACCCCTTTATTGCATACTGTGTTGAATATTTTATACTTATTTTTTCATTTATGGAACCAAACTTTATCTAGATGTTGTCTTCCCTGGCATCTTATCTTAATTAAGTTCTGAATCAGCAATTAATTAATTATTATCCCTATTTATGAATCTAAAAATAAATGGAGAATAGTAGGGGAAGTTTAGTATATTGTCCCCGAATAAGAAAAGACGACGATATAGAAGCCGACGTGGGGGAACCCTGACGAAACTACAGCGGTGATTAAATAAACAGATTCTACTGGAGAACAAACTAGACGAGTTCCATTCGAGACTATCCTATCAATGGGACCTGAAGAACTGTAATATCCTATACTTCACAAAGTCCTGTCTGAACGAGGACATGGTTAATATAAATCAAGCTGGTTTTTCTATGCATCTGCAGGACAGAACTGCAGCGTCTCGTAAACTCAAGGGCGTGTCTCTTTCTTAACAACAGCTGGTGCACGATCTCTAATATTAAGGAAGTCTCTAGGTTCTGCTCGCCTGAGTTAGAATACCTTATGATACGCTGTGTAGACCATACTATTTACCAAAATAGTTTTCATCTATATTTTTCGTAGCTGTCTATTTACCACCACAAACCGATGCTGGCACTAAGACCGCACTCAACGAGCTATATAGGACCATAAGCCAACAAGAAAATGCTCATCCAGAGGCAGCACTCCTAGTGGCTGGTGATTTTAATGCAGGAAAACTGAAATCTGTTTTACCTTGTTTCTACCAGCATGTCACCTATGCAACTAGAGGGGAAAAAACTCTAGATCACCTTTACTCTACACAGAGACACATACAACTCTATTCTGACCATAACTCCATCCACCTGATTTCCTGCTTACAAGCAAAAACTCAAACAGGAAGTACCAGTGACACGCTCAATTCGGAAGTGGTCCGATGAAGCGTATGCCAAGCTACAGGACTATTTTGCTAGCACAGACTGGAATATGTTTTGGGATTCATCAAATGGCATTGAGGAGTTTACCACATTAGTCACCGGCTTAAGTAATAAGTGCATCGATGACGTCGTCCACACAGAGAGCCACCGGTCTGAGCGCACCACCTCGGCAACACCGGAATGGAAACCCAACGCACCCTAATCACCTTCAGCGCACCTGCACCTCATCATCTCATCACTACCCCTATTTAGCCCTGGACTGTTCTGTAGGATGTTGTGTGTGATTGTTTTGCTTCGTGTCATGTGTCTTTGTTTATTCTCTTTGTCATTCTTTGAGTAAACCTTGACCTTGTTTATTCCTGCGTCTGCGTCCTGCCTCTTTGTATACTCAGTACTCGTCACATGCACAAAGTCTGGAACCAACAGGACCCTGAACAGCTTCTACCCCCAAGCAATAAGACTTCTAAACAAGACTGCTAAATAGCTAATCAAATGGCTACCCGCACTACCTGCATTGACCCTTTTTTTCACTAACTCTCTTGCACTGACATTGCACACACACTGGACTTTCCCCACAAACTCACACATACTTACTGTACACTAACACCCCAACAAACACATACACACACACTACATACACCCCAACACACAAAACATGCACACACATGCTTACTGATGCCAAACATACACTCAAACACACAAACACTTTCACACTCACCACATACTGTCACGCTCGTCTTCGAAATGAGCGGACCAAAGCGCAGCGCGTTGAGTGAACATGACTTTTATTTATATAAAGCAACCACGAAAAAACAACAAATGACGATACGTGAAGTCCAAAAGTTACAAATACTGAAACACGGAACATGGAACACTGGAACAACAGGAACAAAAACCCACAGTATAAATATGGCTCCCAATCAGAGATAACGAGCCGACAGCTGACACTCGTTACCTCCGATTGGGAGTCACCAGACCAATTACCAAAAACACAAACAAATGAAACTCACCCATACCCAACACCACCAAATGAAATACACCCTGGCTCTAACACACAGTCCCGGAGCCAGAGTGTGACAGTACCCCCCCCCCAAAGGCGCGGACTCCGACCGCGCCTAACCCAAAAAATGGGGAGGGCTGGGTGGGTGTTACTCCACGGAGGCGGCTCTGGCGCTGGTCGTGATCCCCACCCCACCATAGTCATTACCCACTTAATTAGCCTCCTCCAATCGACCACCCTACATCCTAACCCCACTGGATTAAGGGGCAGCACCGGACTAAGAGGCAGCACCGGACTAAGGGGCAGCACCGGACTAAGGGGCAGCACCGGACTAAGGAGCAGCACCGAGCTAAGGGGCAGCACCGGACTAAGGGGCAGCACCAGGATAAGGGACAGCACCAGGATAAGGAGCAACACCGAGCTAAGGGGCAGCACCGGACTAAATGGCGGATCCTGGCTGGCTGGCTCTGGCGGATCCTGGCTGGCTGGCGGATCCTGGCTGGACGGCTCTGGCGGATCCCGGCTAGATGGCTCTGGCGGATCCCGGCTGGACGGCTCTGGCGGATCCCGGCTGGACGGCTCTGGCGGATCCCGGCTGGACGGCTCTGGCGGATCCCGGCTGGACGGCTCTGGCGGATCCCGGCTGGACGGCTCTGGCGGATCCCGGCTGGACGGCTCTGGCGGATCCCGGCTGAACGGCTCATGGCTGGCTGACGGATCTGGCTGCTCATGGCTGGCTGACGGATCTGGCTGCTCATGGCTAGCTGACGGATCTGGCTGCTCATGGCTGGCTGACGGATCTGGCTGCTCATGGCTGGCTGACGGATCTGGCTGCTCATGGCTGGCTGACGGATCTGGCTGCTCATGGCTGGCTGACGGATCTGGCTGCTCATGGCTAGCTGACGGATCTGGCTGCTCATGGCCGACTGACGGATTTGGCTGATCCTGTCTGGCAGAAGGCTCTGGCTGATCCTGTCTGGCAGAAGGCTCTGGCGGATCCTGTCTGGCAGAAGGCTCTGGCTGATCCTGTCTGGCGGAAGGCTCTGGCTGATCCTGTCTGGCGGAAGGCTCTAGCGGCTCCGGTCTGGCGGACGGCTCTGATGGCTCATGGCAGACGGGCGGCTTTGCAGGCTTTGGGCAGACGGGCAGTTCAGGCCCCGTTGGGCAGACGGCAGACTCTGGCCGTCTGAGGCGCACCGTAGGCCTGGTGCGTGGTGCCGGAACTGGAGGTACCGGTCTGAGGACACGCATCTCAGGGCTAGTGCGGGGAGAAGCAACAGGGCATGCTGGACCCTGGGGACGCACATACGGCCTAGTGCGTGGTGCCGGAACTGGTGGTCCCGGGCTGAGGACACGCATCTCAGGGCTAGTGCGGGGAGTAGCAACAGGGCATGCTTGGCCCTGGGGACGCACCGTAGGCCTGATGCGTGGTGCCGGAACTGGTCGGGCTGGGCTGGCGACGCGCACCGTACACTTGGTGCGGGTGGCAGGAACAGGCCGAACCGGGCTGGCGACGCGCACCGTAGGCTTCCTACGAGGCTCAGGAACAGGCCGGGCTGGGCTGGCGACGCGCACCGTACACTTGGTGCGGGTGGCAGGAACAGGTCGGGCTGGGCTGGCGACGCGCACCGTACACTTGGTGCGGGTGGCAGGAACAGGCCGAACCGGGCTGGCGACGCGCACCGTAGGCTTCCTACGAGGTCAGGAACAGGCCGGGCTGGGCTGGCGACGCGCACCGTACACTTGGTGCGGGTGGCAGGAACAGGCCGAACCGGACTGGCGACGCGCACCGTACACTTAGTGCGAGGGGCCGGAACAGGCCGTACCGTACGGGGAACACACACTACTGGCTGTACCTCGGGATTAGGAACGGGCCGGACCGGACTGGTTACACACCCCAGTACCTCTCGCCGAGCCTCTACACCTTCCTTCCCTGCTTTTCCCAGTAGCCCCCTTAACCTGGTAGCTTCCTGAATCCGCCCCTTCTCTGCCTCCGTCAGCCCCCTTAACCTGGTAGCCTTCTGCATCTGCCTTGTGGCAGCCTCCTGCTGCTCAGTCGCCCAAGCCATGTGCCCCCCCCAAAACATTTCTTGGGGTTGCCTCTCGTCCACGGGCTTCCAGCCTCGCCTTCGTGCTGCCTCCTCATACCACCTCCTCTCGGCTTTGGCTGCCTCCAGCTCTTCACGAGGGAGGCGATATTCTCCCGGTTGTGCCCAAGGACCCTTTCCGTCCAATAACTCTTCCCATGTCCAGACCCTCGGCTCCTGGACACGCTGCTTGGTCCTTTGATGGTGGGTTTTTCTGTCACGCTCGTCTTCGAAATGAGCGGACCAAAGCGCAGCGCGTTGAGTGAACATGACTTTTATTTATATAAAGCAACCACGAAAAAACAACAAATGACGATACGTGAAGTCCAAAAGTTACAAATACTGAAACACGGAACATGGAACACTGGAACAACAGGAACAAAAACCCACAAACACAAGGTGAAAAACACACAGTATAAATATGGCTCCCAATCAGAGATAACGAGCCGACAGCTGACACTCGTTACCTCCGATTGGGAGTCACCAGACCAATTACCAAAAACACAAACAAATGAAACTCACCCATACCCAACACCACCAAATGAAATACACCCTGGCTCTAACACACAGTCCCGGAGCCAGAGTGTGACACATACGCTGCTGCTACTATCTATCCTGTTGCCTAGTCACTTTATGCCTAGCTACCTATTTGTACAGTACGTAGCTACCTCAATTACCTCATGCCCCTGCACATCGCCATGTTATTTTCTACTCCCTATACTGTATACAGCCATATGATTTTTACTCTTTATTTTTATTAGTTATTCCCCGTGTATTTATTCCTTGTGTCACTATTTATTTTTTAAATAAATAAAATATATCTTTAACTTTGCATTGTTGGAAAAGGACCCGTACGTAAGCATGTCACTGTTAGTCTACGAAGAATATGACAAATCAAATTGTATTTCATTTTGATTGTGGGTGTCACGGTTCAGACAGACGACCAGAGGACCACAATTGCGTCACACCAGAAAGTTTATTAAACTTAAGGGAAAAGGGAAGTAGGGAGTGAATGAAGGCTCCAGGGGTAACAGGGATCCCGTCCAATGTGCTGGGTCTGTGCCCCCCCCAGTGGCAGCGATGCGTCCTATGAAGCCGGTGGTGGGTGGTCCAAAGTCGGGGGGGGGGGACACAGA